CTGTTTATGATATGAGCAGCAGCAGTTATGCAATCTATCCAAAAGTGTAAAGGTAAGTGAGCATGAAACATAATGGCTCTTGCTACTTGAAGTAAATGTTGATGTTTCCTTTCAACCCTACCATTCTGTTGAGGGGTTTCTACACATGATGTTTGATGAATTATGCCATGAGAATGATAAAAATCATGCAGTAAAAACTCAGTACCATTATCAGTTCTAATGGTTTTGATTTTCTTTTGAAATTGATTGAAAACCAAATTGTAGAAATGTTGAAGATAATAATGAGTGTCTGATTTTGAAACTAATGGATATATCCAAGTGGTTCTGCTGTAATCATCAACAATAGTAAGAAAATACTTATGGCCAGATATAGAGGTCACAGAAAATGGTCCCCATAAGTCACAATGAATCAAATCAAAAGCAGTAGATGCAGTAGATGTGCTAACAGGAAAGGATAGTTTCTTTTGTCTACTGAAATGACATATATCACAAGGATTATGCAAATGTTGTTTGCTGTTAACAGATATAGGCAGTTGAGAAAGTTTATGAAAAGATAAATGTCCAAGTCTGGCATGCCATAGTTCAGTTTCATGAGAGGATACAGTTGCAACAGAACTATCAGAGGATACATGGTTATTAGGTACATAGGTATTGGAGGATACATGGTTGTCAATTACAGAAATATCATAAACATGATTGATAAGAGTATTGGCAGCATGATGAACAGAATTAAAAGATAGATGGTATAAACCATGTTTGACTTCAGCAAAACCAATCATTTTGTTGGTGTTGATGTCCTGTAATATGCAATAAGATGACAGAAAATTTACAACACAATTATTTGTAGAAGTCAGCTTGGACACAGAAATAAGATTGAAAGAGAAATTAGGAACAAACAAAACATTCTGCAGCACAAGATTAGGTCCCAGATTTATCTGTCCCACATGGCATGCAGAAGTATGTTGTCCATTAGGCAAGTTAACTTTAATATTAACAGCAGTAGGAGGAGAAGAATATAAAGATTGATCACAGATCATGTGATCTGTTGCACCAGTATCAAGAATCCAAGTATGTTTATCAAAGAATGCATGTGCAGAACATGAGAGATGCAAATTACCTGTAGAACTGGTTGGGGTAAAGGCAGTAGCAACAACAGGGGATTGGGAAACATGTTGTTGAGTTGTGGTCTGCTTAAGAGCCTGTGATCTTTTGAAGTCTAAAAACTCATTGAACTCATCAGAAAGGGAGTGATTATTATGTTCAGAAGGATTTGTGGTTGGGTTTGTGATAGTAGAAACAGAGTTGGCTGCAGTATGAGAAGGATGAACCCGAGGACCCTTAGGACCTACCCAATGAGAGGGATATCCAATGACTTGATAACACCTTTCAGAAGAGTGATTACTGTAACCACAATGTTGGCATTTTTGCTTTTTCTTGTCTTTGGTAAATGTTTGCTGTTTGGATTGAGGAGGATGAAATTTGTTTTGAGACTGGGATGTTTTGAGGAGCATGGCTAGATGATCAGCAGTTTTGTTTGGAACATGTAAATTTCTTTGACTCTCCTCTTGAAGTAAAAGAGAATAGACTTTGGATAGGGAAGGCAATGGAGATGTCAATAGAAAGTGGCTTCTCAGAGAAGAATATGACTCATTAAGGCCAATGAGAAATTTCATGACAGAATCAGACTGTTGAGCATTGGACATGGCATCAAAAATATTACATGTACATGAATTGCAAGCACCACAAGTACAACGAATAACAGGTCGGTAAGTAATGTACTCATCCCACAAAGACTTGAAAGAATTATAATACTGAGTCACAGATAATGAGCCCTGGTCCATAGAACTGAGTGATTTTTCAAGTTGGAAAACCCTAGGACCACTACTTAAGGCATAACGAGATTTGATTTCATCCCAAACATCTTTAGCAACAGTGAAAAATAGCAAAGATTGACGAATTTCCTTAGTCACAGAGTTAAGAAGCCATGAAAGTACCAGATTGTTTGCCCTGACCCATGCAAGAGATTCAACAGGGGATTGAGTAAGAGAAGGGACAGAAACAGTACCATCTATGAAGTCGGCTTTATTTTTAACACTGAGAGCCATGAGGATTGCTCGTGACCAGGAAACATAGTTTTCGCCATTAAAGATCTCTGCAACGATGAGTGCACCCGGATTATCGCTCGGGTGAAGGAAGAATGGTGACGATGGATCATCAGTAGGTGGTGCAGCAGCCATAGGAATCACCGATCGTGAGTGAAAAACTCAAATCGTAGGGTTTGAAAAAATAGATCTAGGGTTACGAGAACCAGATCTACAGATCCAAAAACCGATCGAGATTTCGAACAAAAAATCTAAAAAATATGATGCAGCGGAAAAGTAGAAACGAGAATCGATTGAAACTCGGCGATTGATACCATAATATGATTCATTGAACAGAAGATGAACTGTGCAAAAAATAGAGAGAGCTTCTGATATTCAGAGATTGCGAAATTACAAAATTGTGTTTGGGAAACCCTAAGTGGTTCCCTTTTATACTAAGAGTAGAAAACCTATTGGGCTAATGA